TCATTCTTAAAATTTTATAATTTCAGGATGTTGCAATCTCTCCAAAGTTGCTTGATCCTATGAATAATTGGCTTCTGCTCATCAGCGCTAGTTCTCGAACTGGAACCTGGAAAAATCTTGGGGTTTACCTACAAGACAAAAAGTGGTAGAATAGCGGAGATTTTTCTAAACATGCCGTATGCATCTCCGCCGGTTGACGAATTGAGATTTGAGGTTATTTTACGGCATTTCTGACCTTTTCAAGGCCCCAAAACATTTACGAATTTTAGAGACCCACACCCGTAAAGCCATGGAAAGACATTCGTAATGGGACCGCACTTGGCCCCGCTTGCCATCCAGTTCTACCGGGAGTGGGATTCACAAATGTTCCACGCAGCGAAGATTGTCTTACGCTCAGTATAATTCGACCCAAAAAAGAAGTGCTCAACTATATTTTCCAAATTTTTTGAATTAGCAGTATTTTTATAATCAATTGTAGAAACAACCCGAGTCTCCTCGTTCTCATATACTTATTTGGATCCATGGCTGAGGAGGTCAATTTGGTTCAGCGCATGATTCCGGATACGAGGATTTTGCTGATATTTACATACCGAATGACGTCGTCGTGGTTATCATACAGTATCGTCTAGGAGTCTATGGTAACGATTCTATTTACTAGTGAACCAGTAATCTAAAGTTGCTATTTGGAAGAGCGTTCGCTACGGGACCCGCTGCGGGTTTCCCGCTGTTTGCAGATTTTTGAACTGAGCTAACGATTCTTTATATATTAGACTCTTTTGAGTTCAGATATTGGAGACATTTGTGTGCATGATGAATATGATCATACTTCGTTTGCATGGAAGCGCTAGTTTTCCCAATCGAATGGCTTGTTTTTACTTTTGCTCAAAAAAATCATGCTCGTAAAGAAAGTGCACGTAAGCTACTGCTCTGCGTAACGACTGCTCTATTTTTATTGCAAGTTTAAGATTTTTTACGACTACCGTCAGAAAAATCAAAATTTGAGTGACCTATATTTTACCGATTCTGTCCATGCGATGCATGCTCAGAAGAAAGATGCTTAAACAATGTTATGAAGAGCATGATTTACTCTACAAACAGGAATAAAACTGAAATGGTTGGAAAAGAAGTTACAAGGTTTTGAAAATGGTGTGACAAAACTTTCTTTCCAACCTAATGAAATCTCCACAGACAATTTAGGTTCTATCTCCTGTTTTTTGGTTTAGTAGCTATATCAATTCATCCATTCACCAATTTCTTTTGAGTTTTGCCTATTTAATCCATTGACGAAGACGCCTAATTTTGCGTGGCGGCGCTGTGGGACGACGCGGTTTTGCACAACACTTTCAGTGTGGGAAGGTTTTGTGCTTATTTACGAAATGCAACGTTGTTTTGTAAACAACTACTAACATCCTCTTGAACGACGGAACCTACAGGTCCCAAGAATACAAAAAATTGGAAAAAATATTGATCTGTGGAAAAAATACTAGACCTGCAAATAATACGTCTTTGCAAGAGGTGTGGGCAACCGCGGGTCCACATCGTCCCTGGCAGCAAAAAACGCGTGGACCACCGGTGGTCCACATCGTCGTCAATGGGTTAAGTGTTACTCATTTTCTGAACAAAAGACGCGTGCACGCTTTGCGTACGTTTGATTAACATACTTGCAAGTGTGTTTTAACGCGTTGGTGGAATACTATTTAAAATTCGCGAGAGAACATGTTCGAGCTCGTGCTGTTCAACACGCTCGAACATGTTTCTCCATAAGTTCTAATCAGGGTGAAGCGTGTGGCGACTATCGCAACAGGAGGTCGTTAAGGACGCACCGGCTTTGGGGAGGGGGGGGGGGGCATCGTGAGAGAGGGCGGTCCAAAAAGTGTGGAATGTAGGAGATAAGCTTCTCAGTCGTAAACATTCTCTACTCTTCAAAAAACAGCATTGTTCTCCCTGCAAAAAAGGTGCCGCAAACTGGGATCGAACTTGCTGGCCACAAGTATGACCGAAGATTCCAAAGACACTTTCAGAAGCTTAAACACTAGGCATTGTGTGTAACAAGAGTGTTAAATGTACCAATTGGCCTAAAAACCCTGCCGAAGCATCACTGAAGTCTCACACACTTGACAAATCGCTCATCTTTACCAGCCATGACCATCGATAATTTTTAAAACTTTTTTGTTATGTCTTTCAAAGGCCCATACAATTTAACTGTACTTTGGAGATGCTCTGCTACAGTTGTGCAAAATCTGGTTATATTTCACAGTTTTTTTTGATTTTATGTATGGCAACAAAAAATGAGAAAAAGGGGGGGGGGGTCGTATCTGGGTCGCATCTAAATTTCTCCGGAGCTATTCAAGCTTGTTGGCTGCAATCTTGCTGTAATACGAGGCCATCCTCCTACTTCCCATCGTAAAAATTTCAGGCTGTTTCATTACATCTCCGGTGACATATAAAATTTTGATCTTAAAAATCCCAGTTTTTGCTTTTTCATCTGAATCTCTGCGAGAGTAGCATCTAGATTTTTTCGAGGTCACTGCTCCTCGAATGCCGAAACTTTTTCTGTGGATAGCTTGGATACCATTCTACAAAACCTGTTCATTGGAGCCTCTTAATCTTTTCCCGACTTTAGTTACGAATTTTCAAATTACCGTGCTCATACACGTTTTTCACATGGTTCTGGATGGCGCTAAGGTATGTGCAAAACGTAGAAAATAAGCTTCATAGTCGAAACATATTTTACACTTCAAAGATATCGTTTTTTCACCGTAAAAAATAGTGTCGCTTACGAGGACGAAACACGAGACTATCATCGCAGTCTAAAACATTCTATTAATTTCCAGAACCATTGTCATTATCTTTCGGTACCAATGAAACATGAATGAGTTACGCCGAATATTTATAAACTTCAAAAGAGTTTGTTACCAGTCGCTAGAAAAGTTTTTTATAAAATAGTCAATTATCATGACCCTGAAGTCCGTTCCCGTGCTGAATTTTCTTGGTTGTTATTGGTTGCGGGGGGTGTGGAGTATGTAGAGCGGGGGGGGGGGGGTCGTAAAAGAGGGCCTAGGATCGCATCAACACGCTTGACCCTTGTTCTAATACTAAGTCATCCAAAACGCGTTAGGACGCACTCATGAACATGTTAATCAGACGTACGCAAAGGGTGCTCGCGTCTTTTGTAACGGAAGGATAATAATCATAATTTGGCAAATGAAGAATAGATATAAATCAACAGACGCGTCTTCAAACGCTGATTCCGAATCTACTTTTCGTTCGTGCGGAACAACTCTCCAAAAGGAGTTATGAGCGTTTTTATGTTCAAATTTGTCAAGCTTTGAGTGGCTGAAAATCAGCGAAAAACCTCTACAACAATACCTATGCACTTCCATTAGCTATGTTGCTTCTTTGTAGTGAATATACTTGATATGGAATTTATAGGCCATTTTTAAGTGCTTTTGTAATTTCCCCTAGTTTTTAACCACTCAAAGCTCGATAAATTTGGACATTCAAACGCTCATAACTTCTTTCGGAGAGTTGTTCCACAGAAGAGGAAGGCAGATTTGGAATCAGCGTTTGCCAGATTATCTTGATTTCCTTATCTTATTAGTCAAAGAATGAATGATATCGGATTCTATGCTAGCATCAAATTTCTGAGATATGATATCGTGCTAGTGTTAGAGGCAGCGTCCCACCAGATTGGGGGGTACCTGGCTCTGGTATCAATATAATAGTAGACCCTCTAACTAAGCGACGACAGAAGTTTGCTGGGGTTTAAAGGGGGTCTACGAGGTCGACAAATCCCCCCCCCCCCCCCCCGCCCCAAGTGGCCCGAATCTTACGGTAGGCCCGAACGCCGCCCACAGATCAATTTTGAACTGCAAGACCAGAGCACGCATAGCGCAGAAGTCATGAGGGCAGGGTCCCGAAACGACTCTGGTCTCTACCTTGCATGCACCTCGTACTCGCCCGAACGGGGGGGGGGGGCGATTTGTAGACTTCGTAAACCCCCGTTCGCGCTGCAGACATCTGTCGTCGCTTAGTTAGGGGGTCTATTATTACATCAACACCAGAGCCAAGTACCCCCATTCTGGGGGACGCTGCCTTTAATCGTATAGACTGCGTACAGTGAGCAATAGTGGAGGATGACATATGTGTATAATGATTTGATTGATTTATAGTAATAAAATGAGATAGAGATAATATAGGATGTACGGCAACGATTGTACTAAAAATCGCCAACTGCAAAGTGAAAGTCCGATGATGCGATATCAATCGACAACCTCTGTCCAAACCGCTCCAGTTCATTTTATGCAAACAAGCAGTCCCCAATTGCATGCCCATCTCAATTAGTTTCCTTAAAGTAAGAAAAAGGGAAAAACTAGTTTTTGCGCGCTTATCTGATTTTTAGAAAGTAACTTAAAACTAACTTACAAATTCAAAATTAGGCAGTTCTCCGCGTGTATTGACTTCGAGGAATTGTGACTAAGACGATTGGAGAACTCCTAGAAAAGCTACTTTTTGGGAAAGAAATCAAATGTATTTCAGCTTCAGTACCTCCTTGCATATATGCTCATTCATCAAGCAGTCCTAGTTAATCCTTGAGATTTACGATAAAAATGTTGGGCCACCTTCGCCGGTGAGATAGACTTGCGGCGACTTTCTGAGACATCAGACCTTGGGTCGTGTACATAACACATCTTGAAGTTTTGCTAAGACTTTTGTAGAAGCCTCCACTCGAAAAAAATCGTATCATTTTTTCTGCTTTTCGCAGAAAGTGTTTGTGTCCACATATGAATTATTTGTCCAGATTGTGGGTACATAATCTGCATGTTTTGCAGCTCTATTTCAAGAAAAAAAACATTGATAAAAGAGGCACAAATGGTTGATAAGAACCGTGGCGTACTTTTAAGAAGCTTAAAATAATCAGTATTGAAGCACTCATTTAAACAATCACAATGATTCAGCTTTTCTCAGCTCAATTTTCAGTAAAATTCTTATTATTTAGGATGATAACTTTATTGCTAATCGTCGCACTTTCCCAGTTGTCTTCAACGGCTCCAATACTTGAGCTGACACCAGGAAAAGTGCAAGGATTCGAACATCAAACAAAACAAAATGCCACAGTAGAAGTATTTCTCAACATACCATATGCTGCACCTCCCGTAGATGAGCTCAGATTTGAGGTGAATAATGCTGTCGCAGTTTTTGTGCTTATATTTTCACAAAATATAATATATCTAGAGGCCCAAAGCTGTGACGCCGTGGGCGGATGTACGCAGCGGTGAAAAATTCGGACCTCAGTGTCTTCAGTTAGTCCAAATGGAGAACACTAGCGAAGATTGCTTAACGCTTAACATAATTCGACCAAGGATTGAGGTTCATAGTGATCTTTTTAGTTTATGAAATTTTAAGAAATGCTTAGGGCCAGTCGACAAGCCTACCTATACTTTTCTGGGTCCATGGGGGCGGATACGAACTGGGTTCAGCTACGCAATTTGGTTACGAAGGTTTCGCAAACATTTATGCATCCAAAGGCATTATAGTGGTCTCAATACAATATCGTCTTGGTGTTTTTGGTATGATTTGATGCCCTTAATTTTTGATTATTTCCCATATTATTATTTATAATTGTCATTTTAGTTTTTCTTACAATTCGTTAACGATCAAAACAATTCAAAAAAGTCGCTAGACTTACAATGTATAGAGGGCATTATGCCTTGGATAAGCTCCGCCCGCGTAGACAACTGGCACGAACTTTTTTATTTGAAAACGCGCATTTATGAAAGATATCCGTACAAAACGTAAACTAACTACATAACGCTCTACGCGGTTCAGGCATGCGTGACTAATATTTCTAGGGACAGTTCGGATGTTTGCGATATCAATTCAGATTTTGTCAGCAAATTCCACAGTGTTTTCCATTTGAATAGAAAATTCTACGCTTCGCAATAAAAAACAATTTTAAGGATTCTTTTCCACGGGCGATGAGCGCATTTCTGGAAACTTAGGATTATTCGACATGGCAGAAGCGCTGAAGGTAAATTCTAAGCAGATATTTAGACTTAATTGATTTTTCTTGAGTTCATATACACGAATGCTGAAAACATCGGCGGAGACTGGACACGCATCACCGTATGGGGCCACAGTGCAGGCTCAGCGGCAACAGGACAACTTGCCCTAAGTCAACTGACTCGAGGTTATTTTCACTAATCAGAGTGAGGGCGAAGAGAGAAGGAGAACAGGGGGGGGGGGGGGAAATGTGGGGGATTACGGGAGCGATAAATGCTTGAGTTTGATGTGTAATCTTCCTACATGTCTTGAGTAGAGGGCAGCAAGTCGGTAAAGGGCAAGCCGCAGATAGGTACCACCCGTCCGGACAATTGGCTTAAGCTTTAGTATGTAAAGAAGCGCTGTTTGTGACACCTGTCAGCGCTAGACTTATCCCACCGGCAGAATAACCTTCTCTACAATTGTCAAGTAATCAAGCATAAGCTTTCAGAGTATATCGCTCAAACCATTGAAATGTCCGGCTCTCCCTGGGGATCATGGGCTATAGGAGCTGGTGTAGCACATAACTCTTTTGAACTGGCAGAGGTATCAATTCTAAATATTTCTTTCTATTGAACCTTTAATTTTCATCAATTGGAAATAAATTGCAGGCTCTTGGATGTGAGGCAGACATCAAAGCTTGTTTGAAGAAAAAAACTGTCAATGAGATATATGAAGCCGTCGACAAAGTCGTGAGTACTTGCAACTACTTAACTAGTCCATAAGATTTTTCAGGAAATTCCGTAACCTTCTAGAGTTCCTGATTTATACGATTTGGAAAGAGAAAACCGTGCACATTCTAGCATTTGGTCGAGGCAATAATAAATTTGGCATGTAAATAGTTTTCTTACTTGAATTTTCGTGGTTAAAAATTGAGTAATTTGAAGACTTTTAACCTTGGAAGTTTTTTCTACACCCTGCTTTTTCACATTAGAAAATGGTTTTGTTCGATCGTTACAAGTAATTACTACTACATTTTAAGCATTTTCATCAAATCGCAGTTTTTTTTCTAAATAATTTTTTGAGGCAGGGGTAGAACTTTCAGCAAAATTTAGCATAGAAAGGAGGAAGCATATAATTTGTGATTTTCAAAAAAGTCCTCGAAAGGAATCGCTAGGATTTGATGCAAAATCAAGGATCAAAGTTCTATAATAAGAAAAAGTTTAGCGTATGCTCTCCAAAAATCCAATAACAATCAAAAAAATAAGTTGATTTTTATTTCATGGCACAACAACGGAAGGGCTCAGATTTGTTAAATGGGGTCCTGTCATTGATGACGAATTTCTTCAACATCCAGACGAAATGATTGCTTGCGCTTTACCAAAACCGACGATGATTGGTGTTACAAATAAGGAGGCATCGTTATTTAGTAAGTTTTCAAGTAACTATGATAGGCAGAAGTGAATACTCAATTTTGCCTTATGAAAATAGTTTTCTATGTTTACTGAGGGTAAGCAAAAAATGCATCTAGATTTTCTTATTCTTACTTTTTTACCTTTTCTTCTGAGCGCTGTTTTTTATGTATGATCAGTCTCTTTATAAACTTTTTGCATCATAAAGGCCGTTTTTTCTAGTTTCTTAAGTATGTCTTCGTACATTCCGAAACCTTACGAATTCAAATAAAAGAGACTTTCAACCCCAACATTTTTGCCTTATACTTTTTTGCCCCGAATCCATGATGGTTAGCCGGATTAATGCTAGAAAATATGCGTGAGGATTAGGAAGCTTTGCGCTACAAAAGGGATTTTGAGCAAAATTTTCCAGGAACTCTGAACCGAGAGCTTTAATCGCGACTTACATAATCGTCGGGGGCATTATGGCAGAACTTTTTCAGTGTCCAGCAAGGGTAGATCTCGTTCAATTGGTGGTAGGAAAAAAGGTTTCCCCAATTTCCAGCGGAGGAAAATGAACTGATTTGAAAAAAGCTGGGTCGGTAGTAATCTGGTCGAAACTCCGAGTTTGAAGCTCCGCGTTAACTCAGAGATAACTCTGAGTTCCGTTTTTGAAACTCTGAGTTACGCTTATTGAAACTCTGAGTTCTGCTTCCGTAATTCCGAATTCCAACTCTCAAGCAGGGAGTTTTGCTTTGACGCTGTTAAGCACTTTGCTGCAAAAGCGACGTTAAAGTAGGGACTCGAACCTGTATGGTCTAGCGTAAAGATCCTATCACTAAACCGCTAGACCATGACATACCCATGAACCTTAAAATTGCTTTGCCATAATGCTCAATCATTCCATTAACACTTAGCAGGTCAAAACTAGTTATAGCCAAAGCCTCACTCATTTCCATTTTCGGGCAGGGATGGTTCATCACGAGGATTGGTCTTTGACGCAGCTGAAAGCTTCAAAAAATAGAGAAAGCGGATGGCATATGCAATGATAAGAATTGACTATTAGGATTTGCGCACAGAATAAATCCTCCGGGCAAAGTTTGCCCTTCCATGACTTCGTCTTACTTACCGTATACCTACCGTAACCGTTCCATATGTCACAAGTGTATGTAGCAGATAGATTGCCCGTAATCTGCATCCCGAATAACTCCAGTGTACCAAATTTCGGCTAATTCCGCCGCTTCAATTCATCTACCGTAAACCTACCGTAACCTCGTCATATGAAACCACAGTATAATCTGCATGTCATATTCGTTATCGGCGCCCCGAATAACCCCAGTGCACCAAGTTTCGATCAGTTTCGTGATTTTCTCCCATCTACCGTAAACCTAACACCTCTACATGACCCCATAGTGAAAAATGGGTACCATATGCGTGATCAGCGCACCGAATAACCTCGTGGGCCAAGTTTTTACAAAATTTCAAAATTTTGTAAATCACTGCGCACCACGATACCCCCGTCATGCCTGCTTAAACTACGAGCAAAATGTACCCCGGAGGACTTTTTAGCGCCCCTCTTCTTTTGCGCACTATTTCTCTTTCTCTGATCAAACTCAGAATTATCTCTGAGTTCCACGATAGACTGGAACGCGCATCAAACTCAGAGTTATCGCAGACACTAGTTGCGCGTTTGGTGGCGCTGTTTCTTGTGCAGGACGATTTGGACAATGTTGCGCTACTAGGAATAAACTACGTGTTAAGGAGAATCCTGCCATATCATCGCTTTCCGGATTTGATCTGTTCAAACACCTGTTAAAGGGGTCAAAAAGTTGCGCGTTAGCTCAGAGATAACTCATAGTTAACTCTGAGTTATAACTCTGAGTTTCGATAGGTTTACTAGGCTGTTGCATAAGTTCTGTCCGATTTGAATTTTTGAGTTTAAAATGTCATAACTTCTTTCAGAGTCAACTTATTTCCAAGGTCTTAGTTTCTATGTGTTGAGCAGTCCCTTGGCTAAAAAATGCATATTGAGATCTGCGCAAATCTTTGTTAAGGAAGAACCAAGAATGCAAAAACTTCGCAGCGTTTTTCTTCGAATCTGTCTTTTTTTGACATGGTAACGCTCCCTTATGAAAATTGATAGGCATCTTTTCTAATAATAGATGGATAGAGAAATTTTCGTAGATTATTATGCAACATAAAAGAGCCCATAGGGTTTGCGCTGCCGAGAGATTTTCTTGACCGAACAAAAAATTAGCCACTTTTTGACCTCGCTTCAGCACATGTGTGCATGCCTATTTATGAACTACGAACGTTTTACAACTGACGTGAGCGCCGAAAAGGAATTGGTGGATGGGCCCTGTTAGCTCTTGCTTTGCCCTAGCACCTCCAACTTTGAGCTTGTCGATTACTTCTATTCGCAGAAAGTTATTGCTTGTAAAACATCTATACCAAAGATTTATGTTCGAGGATAAATTTCACTAGCAAGACGTATTCTTCATGGGACCGAACTTCTGCATATACTAGCATTCCAAACCCTTATTCCGAAGCCAATGAAAGAACCTGACTTGAAGGGCGCATTGTGGAGATATCCTCGCAAGGACATATTTCTAGGGATAGAACGTACCTCGGCCACTTAGAGATTTTAGGCCTGTGATCTCCGTACACTAAGAATTTTATTGAATTCTGGTATGCTTTAGAAAGCGCAAGGAAAGCACTTTTCAATGATACCAACCGTATCGAATTAGAGATGAAATTCTCTTAGAACAGCTGCTTCAAACATGAGGCAAAAAAATCGGACAGAACTTATGCAACAGCCTAGTACTACCGACCCTCATTTTGAACCCTCCGAGATGCCAGAGAAAAGTGAGTACTTTTGACTTTTTCGCGATATTATTTTTCAAAAAAAACTGTAAAGTCCAAGTTTGGCACACTGCTCAACAGACTCTGCAAATTTATCTTTACAAAAAAGAATGCTGCTTTTATTCAGCTCTACATCTTTGAAACAGGCTTCCAGTTTATGGATAATCAGACACACACAGGCTTTTTTCCTTTCAATTCCATCAACATGGATGAGATCGATTCCCTTTAATCTTGAAGTTTTTCTATTTTATAAATTTTCTTGAACATCTTCACCAAAAGCAAGGTACGAGCTCCCATGTTTTCATTTTTTTTTCAAATTCGCGGGCTACGTTACTACAATTTTCTTGAAATCTGAGCTTGATTTTGCAATTTACAGTCGCCTGCTAATTCATTAGCTTACGTAGGGAACAATAACTCCGCAATTTATTTGGAAATCTGCATACCAGGCTGCGTCCAAAGTTGCCTAAGTGCTGGCGCAGTGCCAGCGTAGTGTCAGTGCCGTGCCATTGCCGTGCCACACGTATCATCGCGTTTTGACTGATCAACTTTTATTTGGCAAAGTTTGGCAATTCACTAGCACAGTGCTGGAACTGTCGCTGTCACGAAGAAATCAGTGCTTTACTTTTATGAAGTAAATTTTTTTCAAAGTTTTACTCAAACCTGATATTCCATTGTGTTTATGCTTTGTCCTAAAACGTGTTTTCGCGTTTATAAAGTTACTGTTGTAGCCATTCTCAATTCGACACCTATACTTCAAAAACTTGGGTTTAATTCAACAGAATTCCATACATGGAACAGGACAGTGCTAATCAATAAGCTGGAGTTTAGTTTTTTGTAGCTTTCTTACCATAATCTATCGTTTAAATCACTCCACTTTTAGGAGTTCATACGGTTGGTGTACGTGGGAGATCGTTTAGAAGATTTTACGGGTGACATTGTATCCTTTTACGTTGATAGAGATGAAGAACCAAAATCAGAATTCTATATCAACCGCTATACAGAGGTACGGCAAATTTAGGAATCCCTGAACGAAAATTTATTTCATACAGGTTTAGTTCGTTAGCAATCTGCTATTTGAAGCGGCAATCGTCGACGATATACAGTCCCGTCAAAAGGCTGGATGGACTGTGTATGCTTATATGCTTGATTACTATAATGATGCGATTTGGAGAGATGTTCCCAAAGCACTGAGAGGTCAGCATACTGTTTAGCCTTACAACACATCGCAAGATATGCACCATTGACGGTCACAAATTTTTTTATTTTTTGATAAAATAGCGCAAAACATTGGTTCAATAATAAAATTGCGTGTTTTTAAAATTTTTTCCATTCCAATTTTCGCTCCATCGTTTGAAACATTACTTTGTAATTGGATTATCAACATGATGGTCTTATAGGGCACTGCGTTTTTGGGGAGGGGGGGGGGGGGCTACAATTCAATCTTCGTAACTGTAATCAGAACCACGGAAAGGCTCCAGAATGGTAAAATATGGGAGGCGAAATTTTGGGTGGACACTGAATTCAAAAGGCTGCCTTTAACTTCGCTGCTTGTCCATCAAAATCTTGCTTAGGCTCTCATTTTGGGGCCTTTCGTGGTTCTGATTAAAGATTTGAAGTGTAAAGTGCGCAAAAGCCCCAAAAAGATTTCTGGGAGCCCTCTCCTGAAGGCACAGATGAACTTTAAATACCTGGATGGGCGGGGCTTGGCAGGTTGGGGCGTGGCTTGTTAGGTTCCAGGTCCATTACTTCACTCAGAGGCAACACTGGAGGGCCGAACAAACGCAAATGCCCCTCCTCCTAGGGTCTACATCCAGGCTAGTGGTGGAGAGGGGTAGGCTAAGTTTTGCTTGGACGCTGCTTTTGGTCTCGAAAATTCGCTTGCATCGGTTTAAAATCAATGCATGCGATGCATTGATTCGAACTTTGTATACTTGAAAAACCAGATTTGTTCGCGTTTTCTGTGGGCTATATCAAAGCGAATGCTAATCAATTTAAATATTATAGCTTATATTTAAAAACGCATCTTTTATGCTTCAGGAGCGCCACATGCCAGCGAATACCCCTACGTCCATGGCATAAACGTTTTGAGCCCATTTGAATTCAACGAAGACGATCGGACAGTCGCGAATTTTTTCCGAGAATCGTTGGTCGAATTTATCAAGACAGGGTGTGATATTACTCAACATAGTTGAAACCCTGCTTAGAAGATCTATTTAGGATCCTATCACATCATAATAAATCTTGGTTGAATATCAGCAGTGATCCAAATATTCGTTACACTCAAATAACTCCACATCCACAGACGAATACAGGGTTTTTCAATTGTAAGTTCATATCGTTGCTTTTCTTATTGCACAATTGTAGATCGGGTACTAACAATCAAATTTTTTTTCTAATAGACAAAGTTTTGAAAACAGTACATAAACGGCAACATTCTCAAAATTTACATAGTTAGAATTCTGTCCACTCATAGATGAATACAAGTTACAATCTAATACAACTCTTTTTTTACAGTGACTGCTGCCTTTTGGCAAAGAATGCGATTGTATGATTACGACATGGTTCAGCTACTACCTAGAAACAAAAGAAAAGCAGCATATTCTCAATGGCTCTATGTTCCGTTTGTGACTTTAGTCTGGTTCATTTGTTATCAGTTTTTTACTTGATAATGATAAACTGTGCTTAACCTTCAAAAAATTTATGATAGCTCGGCAAGGTGCATCTTTCGATGTCTAGAAGTGTCTTTTTGGGCACTGTAGTAGGTCAGATTCTACAGTTTTTTGCTTAGTGTAGTTCGCGAACTAAGCCCCCGGCTCCCACACTTCAGTGGATACGGCTCACCTACTTCGACGCACGCATGGGAACAAGGAATCCTCCCTTGAAAAGTCATCGTCACTTGCAATGGTAGCCAGGTTGCAATACTGTTATATGGGCCACGCTGAATGGCACCAAACTCCTAGAAGTCCTCACCTAGCAATCTATCCTCTCTATCGGCAAATGAGGCTTGTCATCATAATTCAGGCACTTGACCGGCATCGTGCAAGTCTTTTTATGGATGTAACAATTCAAGCTGTGATATGGTGATAGCATCACACATTACAGGATATTCCACAAAGCTACAGTCGAGCTGTGGCACACCGCATCGACCAATAACACAGAATTCCAAAACCTACCATTTATACTTACTAGCGACCCTACGGGTCGCTAGTAAGTGGGTTGGGGCAGATACATTGATAAGTGTCTACGTGCAACTAACAAGGGAAGCGTCATTAATCGAAGTGGCCTTTCCAGATGAGACCCATATTGCTTTGAAGAGCATCAAGCGATGATTCCAAATCTGCCTTCCAAATCTGCCAAGCGCCTTTGGACACCGAGTTATGGGCGTTTTCCAGGTCAAAAAATTGAACGCAAAACTTCAACAAAATCACCCAAATTTACTCAAATGGTCCAGTGTCAAGTATCAGAGCCGTTTATGCAATGGATACATTTGTCTAATATACTAACACTCAACATTGCTTTATGCACTGAAAAGATTGTAACAATAGATTTTACCTAAATTCTGCATTCATTTTTTGTTTCAAAAAATGGTCATAACTCGGCGGCCAGAGGCGCTTGGCAGATTTGGAAGGCAGATTTGGAATCACGCTTAATGCTCTTCAAAGCAGTATGGGATTCTTCTGAATAGGCCACTTCGACTAATGACGCTTCCCTTGTAAGAATAGCAAGGGAATGAATTCCCACTTCAACGATTTTTTCGCAATGCAAGTAGTAATAGAAGCAAGCTCAGGCTCAAGCAAACTTTTTACAGCGACTAACTACCAAATCATATACGGTGTTCTTCTTGCAAAGAACCCCAGCTCTTAAAAATGAAAATTGCCTGAGCAGCCATCTATGCAGAAAGCTGATTCAACCCGAAATTCAGACTGACTTTCAGGAATGTGCGACGGTAGCAAACACATCGAGCTTCGCGATCATGCACAGTCCTACACTCTGCTTATGATATCTCACGAAGTCATTTCTTGAAGCGAGATTAAGTCCGCTCAAAGCTTTCTTTTGGGCAATCTTAGCAAACATGTCCTGCCTCATAGACGAGACCACGAAATAAAGTCCCCTTTCCTTTATGCTGAAGGGGGCAGAGGTATGATTTCTGCGAAGTAAAAGCGGCCAAATTGGATATCAAGCGAGCTTTTGTACAGTTTAGCATTAAAATTGAGAAGTTCTTAGCAGAAATGCACTGCCGCATGAAGCCCTTAGGCCTTCCTTCCCTCGAGATCAAGCTCTCGCGTTACTTCTTTGTTATAGAAGGCAGAGGTATAATTTCTGCGAAATATTAGGTTGTAAAGGAAGAGTCCGGGCACGTTTGAAGATTTCGTTTTTTGATGCATTTTTTGCCGCTCCGTCGGTATTTGACACCGAGTTTTATACTGTTCGGTAGAAGGAAGCCTAACGCTTCTAATTTTCATCGATACCAAAGCATGTATTCTGCACATCAAAAAAGGAAAGCTTTCTAACATGACAATTTCACAATTTTTCTACCTGCTGCCATTTTTTTGTGAAGTTCATAGGTTTTCGTCCAAATTGTGTGTGATCCGATCGAGGAGACTGTTAGCTTCTGACCCGCAGCTGCCCTCGTTTTGCGATTGCGCTCAGAAATTTCAAGCTGTCAAACTTGCCTCTGACTGCAACTATTTTCGCAGCTGACATCGCTTCTGCGAGAATCGCCATTGGGTCCAAAAGATGTATAAGGCATTAGCCCAACAATCTTCGCAATAATCAAAGATTTGCTGTCTCCCGTGGAGAACGAGAAGACTTCAAAGTCGTTTACTCGAAAAATGATGCATTTTTAAGGCAAAAAATGGTCGATTTCTCAACCTTTCTGGAAAAACTTATTTTGCAGATAGTCGCTCAAAGGCGTAAATAGTCTCCAAGACAGCCCTGGCAGACTTCTTTATAACTACAGCATATGAGCTGTCCAGCTCCTATCATGCCTGAGTTCTGCGCAAACAGGTTACTTTTCGCGTCAATTTTTTCCCTTCTGCGCATGCTGGTGAACCGCAGCGAGACGCTGAAAAGCCAGCAAGATAAATGTATGTTGTAAACAAAATTGCCTTTGCAAAGAAGCTTGTAGCTTTGAAGAAGAATCAATCTGCTTGAAGTTACAGCAATTTGAAAAAAATTTTTTGCAAGTGCCCGGGAACTTTCTTTAAGACCTAATAAAAGCGGTCAAAAGTGGATTTCAAGCGAGATTTGTATAATTCAGCACTGAAACTGAGAAATTCTTAGGAGAAATGTTTGCCGCTTGAAGCTCCTAAAACCTTTCTTTGGGACCAAGCTCCCTCTGCTTCTTTGTTATAAAAGGCAGAGATGTGATTTCTGCGAAGTAAAAGCGGTTAAAAGTGGACTTCAAGCGAGCTTTTGTATAATTTATAAAACTGAGAAATTATCAACAGAAACACACTGCCGCATAAAGCTCCTGCAGCTTTCCTCCTTTCGAGACAAATTCTCCTCTGCTCTTTTTGATTTTTTAAGGCAGAAGTACGATTTTGTTTTCGCAATTCGATCTCGTATATCATACTTGTGGCCATTGCTGTTAGAATCTTGTTGCCGTAGATTGGTTATCCTATTGGTGCACAGTTTCCCTTTCGCAGTTGAACCATATTTCGCCAAAGTATCTTTGCGGTGGCTTTGGATGCATCCAGTTTCTGTAGTATTTTTTATATGCATGGTTCTGCTTCAATTATATCCTTGGCCAGTGCTTATCTTGATAATTCTGTAGTGTGTGAAAGTGGAACTCCAGATTAAGCGCAATAGGGAGGAAAAAGCGTGGAAGACGGAAAGCGTGGGCGTTTGCGCTTAAAATACCAGGAATTTGATGATTTTGCGCTTCTACGACAAAAGCGGCCAGCTACGGTTACGGGCTGCTGGCAGCTACTGCGTGCTGCTATGGGCTGCCAGTGGCTGCTACGGGCTACCAGTGGCTGCGCTAAGGGCTACCAGCGGCGGCTGCCGCCGCGGTATGAAGGCACTTTTGTGGCAATACTAAAAGATATAAAACTCGCTGAAGCTTTCTATCGGATAATCTAGCAAGAAGGTCCTGCTTTGAAGCCCGTGGCTCTGTCCTTCTTTTGAGACCAGCCTCCTCTGCTTTTCTGCTTTTGGGTGCCAAAGCATAAGTTTCGCAAAGTACTCAGAAAATCGCATCGGGAAGTTCGCGGGTGCTTGCTCGACCACCAATCATCCATGCCGCGAGCTGCCCGGTATAAACCGAAATTGAACCTGATAAGAGACCGCGGTGTACCCTGTAAGCGCCCGATAGTTGACTTGATTAGCATGCTTGTGAGCCCTAGGAAGAGTGAAAAACCTTTTGGCGTGTCTTTCATGACAGCGACTTGAGCACAAATTGAGCAACTTATTAACTCATCTGGCGAGATCATCTAATGTCGTCGACATTACTCATCCGACTGCTGAAGTTTATTTCATCAGCATAAGAACTCAACTCTGTCCGATAGGACCAAATCCGAGAAGCGATACCCAGCCTGCTAAACACTTAGGGTAGCCCCAACGGTGCGACGTACCTCACGAGGGTTGCACCTTCAACTACAGCGTGTAAGAAGTGCGGCCTTTGATAGGGCCCGCGGCCCGCCGAGTGAAGTGGCTGGGCCGCGACCTTTCCGGTAATCTCTTCCCGATTTTAACTTTGGCCGCGGCGTTCCCGGTAAAATATGCATGGGCCGCGGCGTGTGCGGCTGAAATTTTAAGGGCCGCGGCGCGCCATGTAACACGCTCTGAGGCCGCGAACTTTCCGATGCAATTGTCCGAGTAGGCGCGGTTAAAATGGACTTTCATTTTTTTATAGCTTAGCCTTGAGAACAAGGAATTGTTCGGAAAGATGTCCTGCGGCAGTAGCGACCCTAGTGTCGCTATCAAGTGGGTTGGGGCAGAAGGAAATGGACTTCCATTTTCTCAACGATTTTTGGCGAAACGTAAATATGTAGTCGTAGGAGTAAAATCATGCTCTCAAGCAAACTTTTTACAAAAGTAACTCTCAAATCATCTGCGCTGTTCTTCTTGCAAAGCTCCTTTACTTTTCCGCTGTTGAGAGCACAAGAATTTTTGCTTGAAGTGGATTTCAAGGAGGTTCTTTATAATTTAGCCTTGAAAATAAGGAAGTCTTAACAAAATGTCCCGCGGCAGTACGACCCTAGGGGTCGCTATCAAGTGGGTTGGGGCAGATACATTGATAACTGTCTGCATGCAACTAAAAATAGCGCCTCGAAAACAAGGAATTGTTCGGGAAAATGTCCTGCGGCAGTACCGACCCTAGGGGTCGCTATCAAGTGGGTTGGGGCAGATACATTGATAACTATCTGCGTGCAACTCAAAATGGCAAGGAAATAGACTTCCATTTTCTCAAGGATTTTTGGCGAAACGTAGATATGTAGTCGTAGGAGTAAAATCATGCTCTCAAGCAAACTTTTTACAATGGTAACTCTCAAATCATCTGCGCTGTTCTTCTTGCAAAGCTCCTTTACTTTTCCGCTATTGAGAGCACAAGAATTTTTGCTTGAAGTGGATTTCAAGGAGATTCTTTATAACTTAGCCTTGAACATAAGGAAGTCTTAACAAAATGTCCCACGGCAGTACGACCCTACGGGTCGCTAACAAGTGGGTTGGGGCGGATACATTAATGACTGTCTGCGCGCAACTAAAAATAGCAAGAGAATGAATCTTGAAAGCAAGAGAATTTTCTCAACGATCTTTTTCGCAATGCAAGTAGTAGTGGAAGCAAGATCAGGCTCATTCCAAGATTTCATTTCAAGATCATTTCCATTTTCTCAACGACCTTGGGGCAACGTAAGTACGTAGTAGTAGAAGTAAGATTATGCTCTCAAGGAAACTTTTCATGGTGATAGCTCCCAAATCATCTACGCTGTTCTTCTTGCAAGTACCCGACCCAGATACCACAGCTACTAAACATGAAGATCACCTCAGCAGTCATCTATGTAGAACAGCTTTCAACCCAAAACAGGCTGACATTCAGGAACTGTGCAACGGCCGCTAACACATCAAGCTTCGCGATCATACACAGTCCTATAATCTCCTTATTACGTCTCGCCAAGAAACGGCCATTTCCTAAAGCGAGACCAAAGCTTGCTCAAAGCTTTTTCTTGGACATTCTTAGCAAAAATGTCCTGTCGCATGAAACCTCTGGGTATTCAAGAGTGTATTTCAAGCGAGCTTTTGCATGATTTTTAGCACTGAAACTGAGAAATCCTTAGCCTAAATGTGCAGCCGCATAAAGTCCTTTGAAGCTTTCCTTTCTTCGAGACTTATGCAACCAGAATCACGGTTTTCGCAATATAAAAGCGGCCAAAGTGAATTTCAAGCCTTTCCTGAATTCAGCACTGAAACCTGAAGAATCATATCATGTCCTGCCGCATGAACACTAAATCTTTTCTTCCATTAAGACAAGCTCCCTCTACTGTATTGTTTTTATTGGCAAAAGTAGGGATTTCACAAAGTAGAGGCCGCCAAAAATGCAGCAAGTTCTGTGAATTTTCACATTAAGTCTAGTTGGAAGAAATATTTTCGGGTGGATTTGTTGAGTCTTTCCTTTCAGCAGACCGAGTTTCCTCTGCTCATTGTTTTTAGAGGCAAAAACAATATTTTCACTTTGTAAAAGCATCCAAAAGTAAGTATTTAACAGGTTTTTGTGAGATTCAGCATTTAATCCAAGAAATTTAGCAAAATGTTCCTAAAAATTTAGGAAAATGTACTACCTACCGCATGAATCGACTGAATCTTTTCTTCCAACGAGACGTAGCTCCCCCTGTTTTTCTATTTCCAGAGGCAAAAACAATATTTTCAAAAACAAGCATTCACAAGGTGTATAAGCATTCAAAAGGTGAGGTTTAAGCGTATCCCCGTAAAATTCTTATTTTCCTAACCTTCATATTGTTCAAAGTCATAATGTGTTTTTCGAAAACTAATGATTGTAAGAAGTTAGGCAGGATAGGAAGCAAAATGGGCGACATTTCCGAATTATGATAGCAACTGGGGGTCAGACATTTGCACCAACTCGGTAGCCTGGAATCAATTTTTCGTTGTTGTTTGAGCTCTGCACATGACACGCACTTGATCGCCTTCTTGCTTGTTTATGAATGAGGAGGTGATCTTTGACGAGTATTGCCCATATTTGCACTTTCCATGCGGAGCAAGCTCTATAATTTGCACTTAAAGTGCATACAGTCTGGAAACTGACTACGAACGCCGTCAACTCTACGTCGCTGTTATGCAAACTGTGTGGATCCTCCTTGAGTGCATGCACTCCCCAGTACTCTCTCGGCGTTTCTCTGCACATCCGGGTTAGTTCATGTATCGCAGTTATATTTCGTCGCCGCATAATCTGGACTGCCCTCATTGTCGCGAATCTGCTGTTAACACTGTCAGAGAACACATAGCACAACGGTAAAGCATATGGGGGAGGAGAACTCTCGTCGCATCGCTTTGGCAGTTACCAAAAGTTATTATAGTAAGATATCGACCCTGCACTTAAACTCAAGGGATGAGTGCAACCGCTCAAATCATAAAGGCCAGCAAATCAGAAAACCACTGAAGCGGCATCGCCGACGTGTGTCAGGTGCGAGCGCACCCAGACTAGCTCGCGGGTAGCGGGCAGTATCTGAGTATCCTATCATGGGTAAAAATCTGGAAAGATCCGTGAAAGTTTGATCGTTTAGTGCTCAAACAAACAGTACGTCAGGAGATGCATCTCATCGCGCTGAGTTAAATAATTCTTTAGGATTTAGAATTCTTTCACACTGGAGCAAGCAATGACTTTGCGACGCGAAGATCGGACGGCGGAGTGCGGCGATTTTTTTTCACATCGTGGTATTGTATGTTTCAAATATTGATTGAGGAATATGACTACGAGCGATTAATGGCTGCATAGGGCTAAATCTCTTTTCCGTGATTTGAATCTAGCAGTTCCTCTTTTTCTTGCGACTGTACCTTACTATCAGCTATGCAAATCACAAAGGAAATGGAGATGAAAGTGAGAACTGGTATTTACAAAGTTTGGAGCATATAGAAAAATGTTTTGCAAGAGTTAATTTTGAAAATTCTCAAAAATCACCTTTCGTAAGAAAAAAAAAGATTTCCAAAAGACGAAGTTTTCATATAGGTAAGTTTTACAGCTGTAAGTTGCTAATTTTTGCTGTGATCGATGCCAAGATTTTTGTCCCGGGATTGAAGAACATATTAGATTGTTCCAAAAGTTCTGTCCGTTGTTTCAAACCACTATAAAACCACACACAATAAACAATTAAACAAACATGCATTCAATGCAGCTTTTCCTTCTCTTTCTTATGGATACATCTCTGAATCACAGTCTTGTATGCTTTTTTTGATAATTGCCAAAATTCTCCACCTATTAATTTTATCTGCTCAAAGTTAGGCTAATTTGAAAATTTCATTCCAAAGTTTCGGAAAGGTTTGAGCATGGATCAAATAGAGCAATTCTCGGACTACAGGCAATATTTTTAGATTCTCTTAATTTGCTGTTTTTAGCTTCAAAAACATTGTTTCTTGAAGTCTCATTTTCAAAGTCATGAAACATGTAACTGCAGCAAATACACGAAAGCTTTTGAAGCTTTTGCGAATTAAAATATGATTCTTATCAAACATTATTTATGCCACATAACCGAGTTTGATCTGCCTTGAAAAAGCAGCTTTCTGGAGTTTTTGGTACTTTTACTTGGTAAACGTAATCGAAAAGCTGCCCTTTTCATTAAAAAAAAATAATTGTAACGGACTTGGTAAACGTGGCCCATGTAGTCTAAAATGGATACAATGTAACCAAAGGTTTCCTCTACATAATGGTCATCAGCGCTCTTTGAAAACATCAGGGACAGAAATTTGCAGGAAAGATTTGGCGTTATTGCTTATGTGCTCAAAAAGCCATGGTGATAACGTTGCAAAGACAGGGTAGACCGAAGAGCAAATGTAGTTGTAAGAAAGAGGATAAAAATCTGTATCAAGTGGTCCAAGTCATCCATGAACTGGTGTTCTGTGAGTTTTAGTGAGCGATGAAAAAAATGGAGAAAACTCTCGGGACAACCTAATATTATTGAAGGGTCAACCAAACATGAATCATTTGAGATCTAAATACAACATGCGTTTGAATCAAACGTTTCATAATCATGATGAACCGATTTTATAGACAAATCAACAAAAGAATCTGTTTATCTTAAAATCTTGAGCCATGCTTTACTTTAGCTTCCTCAGGTTTGCTAATAAATAATTGCGATCGGTTTTGCGGCTCCTACAGATGCTGCAGACAATTTTTTTGCCCAGTATTCGGTACCGCTGGAAAGAGCACTCCGATGAGAATTGGACATAAGATCGTCCGAGTAGAATTTACTTTGCAGTGGAACAAATCCACAAAGAAATGAGAAATTCCAATTTTCTCATTGTCGTAAATACGAGATAATTTGGTTTTCTTGGGTCAAAGAATTTTGAAATTGCAGATTACGATTTTTATTGATAGTCGCTAAGTAAGAAAACTTTTTTGTATTCAGATACAAGATTGATATTCTCTACATCCATTAGTGCATGAAAACGAAGTTTTAAAGTTGCAGATTTGAGCTTTCGGAATTTTAACCATATTAGGGCATAACGTCCCAAACTGATAATTTAGAATTCTGTATAGTTGATGTTGATAGAAAAAGCTTTGAACTACTCATCCACAAAAAATCATGCATAAAGAACAACTAGGAAAGCTTTCTTACGGAGATCCACATGCCAAAACGAAATTATTTTTTAGCCAGTCTAATATTTAGTCTTATCTAAACAGTGAACATCTCGTCGCAATTGTGCTGGCAAATATTTAATCTGCCACTTTCAAGATTTTTCGTTTATTTGCACTTTGCAGTTTTTTGAAATAATTGGCATGTGGAAAGATGCTTTCGTATGGCACCACTTAGCTCATATAATATGCTTCAAAATTGCGAATTCTTGTTACCATTTCCAACTTGAATGTGCATTTTTACACGCAATTTTTGAAATAATGAGCATTCGAGAGGAAAAAAGCCAAATACTGGAGTACATCTGTGACTTAGAATCGATGAATTGGTGAACCCTTACTGCAGAAAAACAGGTTTTCGATAATTGTTGTATGTACCAGAGCACTAATTCGCTCAGGGAATCAAATTGACAACTTGTAAATGCCACGTACATTTCTAAACTTCAATTCACAAAGAGCTCTTTCATGCTTTTTAATCATTCTTAAAAGCTTATAATTTTAGGATGTTGCAATCTCCCCAAGCTTGCTTGATTCTATGGATAATCGGCTTTTGCTCATCAGCGCAAGTTCTCGAACTAAAACCAGGAAAAATTTTGGGGTTCACGTACAAGACGAAAAGTGGTAGAATAGCGGAGATTTTCCTAAACATACCGTATGCATCTCCGCCGGTTGATGAATTGAGATTTGAGGTCATTCTACAGCATTTCTGAATTTTTTACGGCCTCAAAAACATTTATGTTTTCTAGAAACCCACACCTGTAAAGCCATGGAAGAACATTCGTAATGGGACCGCACTTGGCCCCGCATGCCATCCAGTTCTACCGGGAGTGGGATTCACAAATGTTCCAAGCAGCGAAGATTGCCTTACGCTCAATATAATTCGACCCAAAAAAGAAGTGCTCAACATTTTTTGAAATTTTTTGAATCAGCAGTATTTTTATAATCAATTTCTAGAAACAACCCGAATCTCCTCGTTCTCCTATACTTATCTGGATCCATGGCGGAGGTGGTCAATTTGGTTCAGCTCATGATTTCGGATACGAGGATTTTGCTGATATTTACATACCGAATGACGTCGTCGTGGTTATCATACAGTATCGTCTAGGAGTCTACGGTAACGATTCTATTTACTAGTGAACCCGTAATCTAAAGGTGCTATTTGGAAGAGCGTTCGCTTCGGGACTCGCCGCGGGTTTCCCACTATTTGTAGATTTTTGAACTGAGCTAACGATTCTTTATATATCAGATTCTTTTGAGTTCAGATATTGGAGACATTTGTGTGCATCTTCAAATCTGATTATACTTCGCTCACAAAAGAACACTGTTTTTGCAAAAAAAATTAAGGATGACAGGAACTTTTTTCTTTGCAAGCCTCATTTTAGTGAAACTGGGTCGTTAGGCAAAAAAAATTGTCTGAAACGTTAACCTAAATTGTTGAGAGAACCCAATTTTGAATATTTTGACCCTCAAGCAGGATTGTTTAACTTTACGAATTCAAAGGTACAAAATCAAGCCTCCTTTTTCAAAAGTCGACGAAGACGCCTGGAACTGACTACGATGTTTTCAGGTTTCTTTTCCACTGGGGACCAACGCATGCCAGGAAATCTAGGACTGTGGGACATGGCAGAGGCTGTCAAGGTTAGATGGGCCAATTTTGGCAAAAAACATAAGTTGATCATTATTTTCAGTTTGTGCATTCGAATGCAAAAAGTATCGGAGGCGATGCTTCACGAATTACGGTATGGGGCCACAGTTCGGGCGGTGCAGCTGCCGGTCAACTTATTCTCAGCCCGGTTACCAGAGGTATGAGCTATTTGACTTGGTATAGAAAAAAATTGAAAGGCATACCCAGAACTGAGAAAGATTGTCAAATTCGTGGGTGTAACTCATTCAGCTCAGATTACGTCGCACAATCAATTGAGATGTCGGGCTCACCTTGGGCAGCTTATGCGATTGGAGCATTTGTGGCAACCAATTCATTAGCACTCGCTGAGGTAAGCCTGTTTGAAATACCTTGAAAAATGAAGATTGGTAAGCCAAAATCGTTATGGAAATCTTTTTTTATTGAACAGTGCTCAATGAGAACAACTTTCCTCCAACACTGAAAAAAACCGCTACTGACCAAGAAATGGCTCATACTGTTGAGCAAAAAATTACAGCAATTTTCAATTGGCTCTATCTCAAATTGTGAATATTTCCTGGCGCTAGCAGGCTTTTATATTCTTTTTGACAAGGCGTTGTAAGCCAAATAACTACTAAATTTTAAAGAATGATAAATTTTTTATAGATAGCCTACAATTTTGTACCAAGGGGCACCAAGGAAAGTTCAACAAGTAATCAAAAATGTTATATCGTTGATTTATGCAAGAAAGGGCCAAAGATCATAGTTCTATACATATGTATTTTTTTAAATTGTGTCCTTTCCCATCCGTCCGTCATCAAATTGTTACAATGATAATTTGCAGTGACGGATGGACTGCTGGTCACGCTTTTAGCACATGATGGTCAGATGGCAACAATTTTCAGTGAAAACGAAGTTTTGAGATGTGATAAAATGAGATGAGGTATTAGGTTTGCCCAAAAATTCGGTCGCAACATTTTCAAAAATTCATAACTTCCGGTTTATTCAACCGATTTGCGTGTTTTCATCAGTCATCAAATTTTACAATGATAGATTAGAAAGCTGCTGAGACAGCACTGCTATCTTACGATTAGCAGCTTTCTAATGAGCAAATACCGCATAAATAGAAGCGGTGGAAGAAAATTGCTGAAATTTTGAATTTTCTGCTAGTTACAAAAAATTTGAAGCCTGCAAGAAAAATTGGAGCATTCTATACTGAATTCTACTACAAGCGTTTTCTAACTGTGCAATATTTGTGCTGATTGAGCGTCTCCACGAAAAGTTATGACTTCAAAAAAATAAATCAAATCAAATAGTCCTTTTGTGTTGCTCGAGAAAACTACGAAATTTAATCAAATTAGCCGTTTTGGTATTCTTCGAAAATCATAGCTTCTCATGAAGACGCTCAATTAGCACAAACTTTGCATAGTCAGAAAGAGCTGGTAGTAAAACCTATAATACAGACTGCTCCAACTTTCTGCAAGTTTCAGATTTTTCATACCCTTCACAGAAAATTCAAAATTTGATTTTTTTCTAACGCTTTTACCTATACAAGTTGAAAGCTGCTAAGGTGGAACTATAAAGAGAATAAATTGTTTTTTTAGATAAAAATGAAAATACGCAAATCGCTTGATAAAAACAAAGTTATGACTTTTTGGAATTGGTGCGAAAGAACTTTTGGGCCATTTTATTAATAAAATCTTTTCGCTTTTTTCAAGCATATGCTCTGCAAATATACAGTACAAATGCCCTCGTTGGCCCTTCGTTTCTACTTAGTAATCGAAATTCTCATGTTTAGAAACAAACTTCGTAGAGCGTAAGAAGAAGGCGAGTTCGCCGAAACGTTAGTCTGTTGTTCTGTGCGATAAAGTTCTGTACCAATCTTGGATTACGCTCAAGCAACTAACGAAAATAAATCGTTCAAAAAGCATACAAGTTCCAAAAGGAAAAAGGCTTAGGACTAGCTTTCTAAGTGATTCAAGTTTTTAGTCTATTTTCAGAAACTGCAATGTGGTGACGATATCAGAACATGCCTTAAAGGAAAGTCTGCTGAGGAGATCAATGAAGGCATACGACAGCTGGTTAGTACTAGCAGAACTTTCTTCCAAAAGATTATAAATTTGCTTTTATGGCTCTCTGTCAAATGGTATGAGAATGGTTAAATGGGGAACGGTGATAGATGGAGAATTCCTACAACATCCAGATGAAATGGTCGCTTCTGCAAAACCAAAGGCCTCCATTATTGGAATGACGAATAAAGAGGCAACAGCATTCAGTCAGTTAGTCTGGTACAACTTCTTTATTCCAAAATCTATGATGTCTTTGTTTTTTTTCTATTTTTTCAAATTATGTAGATGTGGCTAAGCTTGTATTATCAGCGAACCTCCAGAAACTTTTTTTGTAAAATTTTTATTTGCGTATGCACTTACCAAGATTAGATAAGAAAGTATTCAAAAAGCATTTTAGCTCTACTAGCAGCAGCAGCCAATTTTCATAAATTTTTTGTCGATCCACAAGATTACTCGATATGGAATAGAGGGAAACTAATCAATGAGCTAAAGGTAGGCGTTCATTAGTGTACAGAACTAAAGTTTAATAGAAATTTTCAGAAGTTGATGCGATCGGTGTATAATGGCGAATATCAAGAAAATCTAATCAATGACATTGTATCTTTCTATATCGATAGGGGAGAAAAGAAGAATCCTGAATTTTATATTGATCGCTTTGCAGAGGTAACCACTTAGAGATCCGAAATTATGTGGAAATAGATGACTCTTAGTTTATAAGCGACGTAAACTTCAATGTTCCTGCTGTAAATGGCATTCTCTCTCGACTTCGCACGGATTGGAAATTGTATGCCTATACTCTTGATTATTACAATGACGCCTTATTCCAGGATGAAGTTCCTAATAAATTAAGAGGTTGGTTAGAGGTATAAGTATTCTTTGTCTACAGACAGTACTCCTTTATTACCTCGAATTATCAATCCTTTTGGCTATTTGCTCATGAACATTGTCTAAGAACTCAGAATTATTATGATTGAATCTTTGTGGTAGATTGATGCAAAACTCTTGTATCACAACTTTTATTTGAAAATCGTTAGTGGCATATGATGGCGATGCTGAAAAAAAAACTCAATTTGTCCTTTTCTTGAAATTTCACAATGCTGAGCGGTCCAGTTGAACCTAAGTAGTTTATTTTTGGTTCCAAATAGAAAAACAGAATGTTGTGAATAGAAATAGAAGTTTTGAAGAGAAGGTTTGGTGTTCTGATGCTTCAGCGAATAGTCCTTCGAAATTTTCAATCAATTTTTTGATTTTGGTTCAAATCACTTTTTGGAATTGTGTTACAGGATATTACATATTACACAACATAAAATTAATCCGGTGTAGATCGATTGGTTTGTTTAAGCATTTTGAGACGAGTTTTTTCAAAGCATTTTTTGGAAATGATGCGACAACCTTATACCTTATTAAAGTACTCTGGACTTCGCCACTTATTCGCAGATGTCTAGTGACATGGCAGAAATTTGTTGCGGATTTTTTGAGATTTAGTCCCTAAGAAAAAAAGCCAAACAAAATTATTTTTCATATCTTACACCGTCTGAAGTGAAGAATTTGCTTTGTTGGCACTCTTCAATCTTGCTTTTGAAAGTTCAGGAGCACCACATGGCAGCGAACTTCCGTATGCTAATGGTGGAAATTACTTTGAAAAGTTTGAGCATGATGCAAACGATCGAGTCGTTGCCGGTGTCTTCCAACAATCATTTGCTACTTTTGCCAAGACAGGGTATGTCTAAAGTCATTCTAACAGAAAAAAAATCGCATAAAATTTTTTAGTACTCCTATGAATGATCGAGAAGTATGGCTGGACGTTGGTACAGATCCAGACCTTCGCTATCTTAGCATCTCCGATAAGACAAAAATGAAGACGGGATTCTTTGGAGGTGAGGGTGTCTATATGTTTCAAGACAGCATTGGTTGCAAGTCTCGAAATTTTCATTTTTGTTGAAAAAAATACAACCTAAGCATTTACGGTTAAACTTTGATTCAATTGGGTTTGCGGCTGGAAAGCGGGGCTTTGTGACCTAGTTATGGCCGCTCGCGCCCGCGACGCAGTCTGCGTCTCTCTCGCGCACGTGCTCTCTGATTACTACTTAACCCTAATTAGGTCACGAAGCCCCGCCTTCCAGCCGCTTAGCCAATTGAATGGAAGGGTATGTTGTAACGTTCCAACTGCATATCACTTTGGTAATGTTTTTCAGAAAGCACTTCATTCTGGAACAAGACACGCGAATATGGTTTCGACATGCTGCAAGTGCTGCCAGCAACATTTTCACAAGGAAAGAAAGAGGAACTTTGAGTAGCAAATTTTTTGAATAATTTTTGTGGTTTTAAACATTCTAAAGTTTGTGAACATTGCTTTCTGCAATTACTCACTCGCCAATTTCATCAAGATCATAGCCTAGGGTAGGGGAACGAACTCCTCTAGTTAGAGCCTGTCTTCGTTGGCAACTGGTCCTTTCGCTGTATTGTTGCATGTCGTTGCAGGACCAATAGTCCGCGGAGGCGGTTCAAACTGGCGGAGTTCGTCCCCCTACCTCATAGCTTATAGCCAATGTTAATTATTTGAAAAAAAAAGATTGAGTTCTATATTTTAATAATGCACAAGATAATATCGTAACATCTGCATAACACAGGTGAAATCTTTGAAAAACAGATACATCAAAAGTTCAGTGTATAAGATTCTAGTTTTACTGGAAAGTTTAGATAGCTCGAGCCTTGCAACTTGCCGGCAAAATTGCCAGCGTCCAGTAAAGGTAATTTTGCTCTACTTACAAATGCGGAATCTTATATATAAAGCTGAAAATCTGTTTGTATGTGTATTTGTGTACGTATGTTCCGAAAAAATTTTTTTTACTTCTAAACCGATCCGGACCAGACTTGGCACCAAGGCCAAGCATGTGATGCAACTGTCTCATCGGAGAGTAGTAAATGGGCACCCACGGTGAAGAGGGAGGGGGGAGAGGGGAGGTCGTGAGAGCGAAGAATTTGGATAGAAAAAAACTTGAGCTCATTGTTAGAAGAAAATTGAACAGCAAATAATCAAACAAGCCGATACAGATATACAACGTACAACGGATACAGCTTGTCGAGGTTATCATTTAGTTTGTATATACCAATTTGAAAAATAAAAAGTTTCAGAAGCTCAAACACTTTTGCAGGCTTGTATGTGTGACAAAAATGTTGAACCATTTGGTTTAGGAATTCGCTTTCGAAGCATCACTGAAATCGCACTTACACAACAAAAGCGCTTATCTCTACCAATGATGACATTCAATAATTCTTTAGCCTATTTGTAAAGCTATTCATGGGAACATACAAATAGCCTGCACTTTAGAGATGCTCTGCTGCATTTATGCAAAATCTGGCCTTATTTCTTGAACTTGTGTGAATTTTCTTTTTTATGTATGGCAACAAAAACGAAAAAAAGGGGAAGTGTAATTGGGTCGCATCCAAATTTTCTTGGAGCCATAGAAGCCTATTCACTACAATTCTGCTGGATTGCGACACCATCCTCTACTTTCCGTCCTGAAAATTCTGGGCTGTTTCGTTCGTCTCTTTAAGTTACAAGATTTTGAGCTAAAAACCAAGTTAATGATTTTCAGAACCGCATCTAAATCTGCTAGAGTCGCATTTGAATTCTTTCAGCTCACTACTCTTGACTGGCGGCATTGCACGTTTTCGCTCAGGACCACGTAATCCACGACACGGGAAAAACGAGGAAATGCTCGTTTTTGTGTTTATTCCAACCAACCATGTTTCGGAAGCAGCGATTATTGAGAGAAGATGAACAAGAAAAGAATTACTTCCAAGCGGAGTTTGTTCTTACCAAGTTGAAATGCGCGTTAAATCCAACCTAGTGATTCGTGCGTTCTTTGATTTTTTACCCCCGCATTGTGGCTCCCGTTTTCTGGGACGCTATCTAAATTGTTGAGCTTATTATTCTGAGCATTAATCGCTCAAGCTGGAAGAAAATTGCTGCGAAAGCCTGAAACAGAACAAGGTAAAGAAAAACGCACTTTTTACAATTTTTCACAAAAAAGTTCCCCCACAATTGCAGAGGTTGGGTCGTTGTCTAAATTATGAACAAGAGCAAGGTCTATAGAATGCAAGAAAAAGTTGCGTGAAAGTTAAACTAGGGGAGAAGTGAGAGATTTTCGAAAACAAGGTTACTGCCGGAATACTCATTTTCGTTTCAAATCAAAAACTGGTTTTAGGCCGTTGCCAGCGTAAAAATAGAGATCAAGAGCATCAATATGATGTACAGTTCACTGGAATTGGTTTCAGAACAACGAAGAAAAAGGTACCAGAGTCAAATTTTTTGTGCCCCGCGTTTGGGATAATGAGGTAGCGCGCAGCGCGCGGAGACGTAGATGAGCAGCGGAGACAAACCAGACCCGACGGGGCATTTGGCTCTGGTCGTAAATCTCCGCGAGGTCTCAACGAAACCCTGTAAGATTATGCATCATTTTGACCGTCATTTCACGAAGAGGAGCATTAACAACGTCCTGAGCGTTGAAAATCACTCGTTAACGAGATAAACCAGCAATTTCGTGCGCATCTCTCTGAGCAAGATACAAGCGCAGTTTTGCATTTTTATTCAACTCCAACAGCAGACTTCTGAAAACTCAATTTTAGTTAAATAAGAGATCAAGTGAGAAATGTTGTCCTGAATTCGGGAGAAACTTTCACAGAAACATTCTAATTAGCGTAAAAAACGCTATGAAAACGCAAACTTTCGGTTTCGCTGAGATAATTTGAAGATAGTACTCCCTATATTTCCTTCATTTTCATTCATTCCGATACAGTTAGATTATAACATCCGGGGCTTCGCCCCGGGTGGCCTTTCGTTTTTTCTAGGTGAAGTTGTGTTCTATCATGGCGTTCAAAGTGAAGGTTATCAGAGTACATGACTATATGTATCGAGAGTTTGGAACCACGATGAATGTCTTTCGCACAGTCGCCAAACATGATCGAGTTGTGTCAAACACTCACAAATCGCAGAAGAATTTCTTACCTGTTGCTAGAAAGTAGATCAATAAAATTATCAATTATCGACTAGTGAATTGTCTGTATTCCTGCATTGTTTTCCTTCGTCAATTGACATCCTTTATATTCATCTCAGGCATATCATTTATTGGTTAGTATCAGTGGCGTACCCAGGGTTTCGGCTCGGGGGTGGGGGGGGGGGGGGGAATTTTTTATAAGGCTAAATTAAATTTTTAAAAAATTTTAAAAATTATTTCAACTACTTACAAGTATAAATAAGTCTCTTGCACATTTTTATAACCTCATGTAAGTAACTTCCAAAAATTTCGCGACCCATTCTCGGGGGGGGGGGGGCCTCCCCCCCCTCGCTACGCCACTGGTTAGTATGTATACAGTCAGTGTCAATTACATGGGAACTACGCATGCGCAAGCAAGGAGCGGACCTCCATCGATGAGGTCAGTTCAAATGCCCAAGCCATACGCGCGCGAACGTGGCGCAAAGCTTATTGCACTTAGGAAGGGAGCACGTGATTGACACAGACTGTGAATGGTTTTTGGGGACATGATTTAGTTTTGATATACCGCATTCTGCTGTGCAAAACCAATTTCTTCCTCTAGGTTAGAAATTGAGCGACGATGTTTTAAATAGGGCTGATGATTTTTTTTCAACGAGTATAATCCGGAGCAAATGATTTTTCATCAGCAATGTTTAAAAAATTGAAAAGTTTAGTGTTTATTTACCGGAAGAGTTTCAAAGAGAAGAGTGGGATCTGAAAAAGAACAACGATGAAAGATTCTGAAAGCGCGATAGAGTTATTATATGTAGATTTTGCGCACTCTCGTAATTCTAAAAACTATCAACCAACATTCAAATCCCATCTGACATCTTCCTTTGATTAGCAGATACTTTCAATTTGAAATCCTATTTGAGTCGCTCACTGTTTTGAAAATATGTTGCCACGTCGTCATCTTTCAGTGATCTTACAGTATTCTTCGTCATTTGTTGTTTCAAAAGAAGATTAGAACATGAGTCTTGTACCGAAAGAAAATTTGTAAGCCCTTCAACGAATACAGTTGTTATAATGATAGGCGTCTCCGAAAAGCCGTTTTTAATCCATTGAAATTTAAAGAACACAGTTCGATGAACAATTAGGTGTCGTTCAATAACTTCTGTCCTCTTTCCGGAAACTATCTCTCTTTGATATTTGCAGTTTGCAATGAAATCTTTCAGTATTCCTACATTTCGTCACCTGATGTTTCAAAAGAAGGTTAATAAATAGTCTTGTACCAAAGGAGATATTTGTAAGCTCCGTCAACAAATCCAATTTTTGTAATATCAGGCTTCTCCAAAAAATTTGGCGTTTTTCATCCACCAAAACTCAAGAAATATAGACCGATGAACAAATTAGGTATGGTTCTATTTCTTAATGTTTGTCTCTCTTTTCGAAAGCTATCTCTCTTTGATAGCTGCAGTTTTTGCGATGATATGGTCATGTCTATAAGCAACCGAATTTTCACTTTTCAAAAAATTTCTTCTCAATATTTTCAAAAGGTGCTGGTAATCGTTATATAGAGCAAGCCCTTGTCTAGATTATACTTATTCTAGATTGCATAGGCTATAAGTCGCTAGAAAATGATCTTCATTTCAACACGTTGACGACGAGCCATTTTTCGAGTATGTCTCAGTGAACAGATATTTCCGTGCACTTTTAAGCTGGCTGCTTAAAGTTGATTATATGGAAGATGCCGCGCACCATTGCGCGGCACTGTCGTCAACGTGTTAAATACCCTGGCTTTCTGAATACTTTAGCACATAGGCGTAAAATTCCAAAAAAGTGATCCTTCAAAGCAAATCAAACTCGGTTATTCTGCAAATGAAATGACAACCAAGCTTGAACTCGCAAAAACCTCGTAAGCTTTCATGTTTTTGCTGTAGTTATGTGTTTCACAACTCTACAGCTCAACATTCTCAAGGAGATAATTTTTAAGTTTATAGCGCAAAAAAGTGCACTATAGGCAACCAGAACTTCGGAATTTGGAGAATCTCAAACACGATCGTTACTGAAATTGATTTCGAGAGGTAAATAAGCTATAGCTTGAAAATGAAGAATTCCGAAATTTTCGGCGTATTTTTACACATGTAGATTTACGAAAACACGATGACTTTGTCTGCAAAATTTGCAAGTATCGATGTAGGAAGTGGGACCCAGAAAAAGAAAAAAGAGCTACTCAAAAGATAACCGAATCACTGAACTACTTATGTTTTACCAGATTTGATTAAGAAGTACATAGAACTGATCGCACCAGAAGTGATGTATGAAAAATTCAAAAGGTTAGCTAGACTAGATGCGGAAAAAAATTATTGATTGGAAAAATTGCTCGATTTTCAAAAGTGTGAAAAAAAAATCATGCAGATGTTAGACAGTAGAGAAAACTTATCATCTTAGCCACTCGTTTGAAGAATTTTTTCTATTTT